ACTCTGTTCCCACCTTTTGCCAGGAAAAACTTGGAACGCTATGAGGGTGTAGCGGTTCTTTCGATTGCTGTTTCGAGTATTGCAAACAGGTGGAACAAGTAGTTGTTATCTTAATATCATTCGAAATCCCAGGCCAAAACAAGCAGTCTTTCGCCTTCAGAAAGCATTTCTCCGTGTTCATATGGCCCTGATGCACAATTTGTATCATATGGGGACGGAGTTTGCTTAGAATCACAAGTTAGACGATGTCGTTTCAGTACCAAGCCGTTTTCAACACTACGGTACGATCTTCGCGAAAGTTCCAAAATTCTTTTAAGTCAGGAGGACGCTGGCTAGGATACTCAGGTCATCCGTGATCTACAACTTCTTTCAAGTGATCCAAGGTAGCATCTTGTCTTGTTTTCTCCCGTATTTCGTCCAGTTTTGTTGGATTTGCTGGTAATGTACTGGAAATTTCATTGATTTCTATCAACGGCACTTCATTTGCATCTACAGGTGGCTCCATGCAGATGACTCGGGACAAGGCGTCAGCGATTACATTCTTCTTGCCCTCGATATATCATAGATCAACATCATACTTCGACATTCTCAGGAGAAGTTTCTGTAGGCGAGGAGATGCACTAGTAATTCTTCTTCCATATGCTTTCTAACGGTTTGTGGTCTGTCTCGATTACCACCTTCTTGCCAAATACGTAATGATTAAATTTCTCCAGGGACCAGCAGGCAGCCAACAGTTCTCGCTCAATATTGCTGTACCATGACTCGGTTTCGCTCAGTGACCGACTTGCATAGCATACTGGCTTGGTAATCTTGCATCAACACACACCCAATGCCTTTTAAACTTGCATCTGACTGGATCAAATTTTCCTTCTCAGGATTGTAATAGGATAGAACTGGAGCTTCTGTAACTACTTCCTTCAACTCTTGAAAAGCTTGTTGCTGCTCTGGTTGCCACATAAATGGTACATCTTTTTTCGTCATCTGTCGCAAAAGCAATGATATCTGGGATAAGATTGGAGAAAATCTGTTCAAGTAGTTCACCATGCCCAAAAACGATTGCAGCTCTGTTATAAATTACTTGGGCTGGGTATGTCTCTAATAGACTTGATCTTATGTTCGTCTGGTCTAATTCCACCTGGGGTCCACGTTAGCCTAAAAAACCCGATGCTTCTTCTACTTTAAACTGAATTTTATCTGGGTTGAATCGTACAAAGTTCTTTCTTGCGGATTCAAGGACGTCGATTATGCGTTGTGATCAACACTAGACGATATACTGGTATACACAACTACGCTTTCTACTTGACAGGTTTAAGTAGCTGAGGAGATTGGAAATATTTGCCTGACATGACTGTGTTTTCAAAACATTTTTAGACTCGGCCTAATTTTCAAGCTTCTAGATAGCATTTAATGGCTTTATATTTTCATTGTCCCGAGAGCATTAGAGCAAAACTAATGACTTAATTATAAACCCAAAGGAAATTTCCATAACATTTTCTATTTAAAAATGCGGTATGCTTGGTGACCAGACCAGGGACCACTTTTTTGAAAACAGGGACCAGTTTACCGAAATCTGCTAGGCTCTCTCGCTGAAGCGTTCCGCACAGCACACCCAGGCATAAACCTTTTAAGACTTATTTAAATATCTCAAAGCCGCGTACAGCCAGAGAGTCTGGGACTAGGCTGGGTTTTCCCTTCCTTAAAACAATCTTTTCGAACACGGTCAGAATTCATTCCGAGGACTAATAAGTCTCTGAGGAATCGATCATAGTGTTCGGACTGCATGGGTAGTTTGCTTCTTTAATGTAAATCCTTAGCTTAGTGATAAAATCTTCAAGAGATAACATTAGACCTTGCCGAAGATTATGCAGTTCCCAAACTCCAAGCAGCTCATTTAAATGCGGCTTTGCGTAGTTTTCAAATTTCTCCCAATAATCGACTAGCTTTTTCTGATCTTCTGCTGACAAGTCCCAACTGTTAAATATAGCTTCAGGCCACGTTCGTCAGACCAGTATAACAAATGTTTACATTTCACTTCTTCTGACATTGTTGGCATCGGTCCCGTGAGTATCAGTTCACATCTTTGCTTCCACATTTTAAAGCGGCCATATATGTTGTCATCCGTGCTCCAGTCCATAGAAGGACCTTTGTCAATGTATGATCCGCTTGTCGCCATGTTTGAATTGAAAACTCAATCTTTTTTCTTGCGATAGATGAACCAGGCGGAAATCGTAATCTTAGGATAAATATTAATGCCCAGCATAAAACACGTAAAAGAGCCATAACAAAAATATAATTTAAAATATTTATTTGAAAGCTAATGTTTCGTCTTTAACTCTTTCTCAACAGGGGCCATTGCGCGTAGAACGTGCACGTTCTACGGATATTTCGTTTATATCTTCGGTTCAGTACACGCTATGTCGATGAAAATACCACCATTCGATTCAGTATAAAAATATATACTAATTTATAACGATAGTTTTAGTCACTGGCTACATTGTAG